CCTCTCCTAGCCTCCCTCGGGTGGGGCTTGCAGACAGGCAGGCAGACGGAGGGCCCTCCTCGTGGCTTCCTGTGTCTTATTTTTACTTGTTTGATTTGTATCCCGTCCGTCCGTCCACCTCCTGCTGGGAGGGAATTCCTCTTTTCTTGCGGCCCTCCGCTCCCCCCCCCCCCCATGACTGTTGAACCCCCGGACGGACCCCTCACTCTTCCCAAGAACTGCCCCCAAGGTCCCCTCAGGGCCCCACTGCTTCTCGCCTCGCCCCCTGCAGGGTGGTCTCTCTCGCCCAGCGACTTCACCTATGCTCAGAGGACAACTGCCTCTCTGAACACACACAGAGAAGAACGGCCCACCCCAGGAGAGAGCAAGGTGTGGCGTGCGCCAGGGAGAGGAGCCCACTGCGAGGGAGGGACTCCCCGGCTCCCTCCTGAACTTGCAGCGCCCACGGTCCCTGGGGAGAAGAGGGGAAGACCTTCCGGCCCAAGTTCTGAGGGGGGGAAAGGCGGCCCCGGCCCACATCAGCCTCCAATTCGTCCGCTCTGCGGCCCCTTCCATCTCTCCGTGGCTCTCTCTGCCGGTTGACCTGGGAGCTGCCACCAACCACCCCTTTGTGGATGTTCCCCTCGGGCTGGTTTCCTCCCTGGGAACCCCCGTGGGAATAACTGGAGTTCCGCCAAGGAAGAGCCCCTTCCCCCTCAGACACCCCAACTGGCTCCACAGGCAGCGGCCAGGCGGAGCTTCTGGTGCTGGGGGGGGCTTCTATCTCCCCCCCACACACACTCCCTGTGCCTCCGGACCAACAGACACAGAAGCAGAGGGAGAAAAGAACCCACGCGGGGGGGGGACACTGCTGACCACACCCAAGGAGGGGAGCCTTCCGCCTCTGACTGGCCAGAGCAGCAGGAGAGAGTGGCCCTCTCCGGTCCCCCACCCGGGGGTGCTCGGCAGTCAAGCGGGTGAGCGTCCGAGGGTCCTTCCGGGAGGCAACAGGCGGCGGCTGAGATCTGGAAGCCCCAGGCCACATCAGAGAGGGCGGCCCCTCCCATGCCTGTCAGGGACCACCCCAAGCCCCCCACCAGAGGGGCACAGGGGAAGGAGCAGTGATACAGCCACAGGGACTCCGCTGGAGAGGCACATCTGGGACACTGCACCCTCCCCCCCCATTCCAGGGGGCCCCAAGCTGCAGGGGGCACCGTGGCCCACAACAGAGGCAGGGGGAGCGACTCAGGGTGTGGGACACCCCTCGTGCCCCCTCTCAGCACTGCACACCAGCAGGCAGAGCACACACTTGCAGCTGTGGGGCCTGGTTTTGAGGCGCCGGTGACCTACCCCAGGAGGACTCTGGGCTTGCTGTGTCCAGCTGGCCGTTTTCTTTAAGGGGAGTGCCCCCCCCAAAAAAACCCCTGTCCTGCGCAGCCAAGAGGCTGCCCCCCCCCCCCCCGGTCAGCACAATCTCCACGAGGCCCCTTCACCACCACAGCCGGTCTCCCAGCACCCTGCCAGCCTAGGAGGAGGCAGCCCAGAAGGGCCTTTCCTTTCACCCGCGGACACGGGCTGGCCTCTCTCTCCCAAGAGGGGAGGAGGGGAGAGGAGGAAGACCTCTCTGCAGAGCACCGGACTTCCCAGACTGGCCTGGCCTGCCGGGTCCTGCCTCCGGAGCACAAAAGCCGGCTCCAGAAGATCCTTGTGGGCCACAGAGAAGATTCCTCAAAGTTAGGAGTGAACACACTGCTTTCGTCCGCTTCCCGTCTTCATCACGCTCGTCTGGAACGTCTGGCCCCCGGCCACTCACCTGCACCAGGGAGGCCAGTTAGGTAAGAACAGCACAGGTGGGCGGGATCTTGGCCAAAATGCCCACGGAATCTCTGCAGAGGACAGCCTGGGCCTTCTCCATCCACAGCTGCACAACTGCGACCACAGATATTTTCACCTCACACCAACTCAGCTTAGGGGGAACACTGGTCCCAAGCAACAGGCGGCCCTCTGCTGGGACCCTCGCCCCCCCCTTTCTCTCTCTGTCTCTCTGCTGGCAAAGTGGCTGACCGCCCCCCCTCCTTCCCCCGTGGTGGTGGTGGAGGAGGAGGCCGAGGAGGAGGCCAGAGGAATGGCGGCTGCCCCTCAGGCCCAGGGCCATTGTCCTGCAGACCCTCTCTCTCCCCTCTTTGTGCTGGGAGGAGAAAACCCTCCTAAATCTTCCTTTAACGGAAGGGCTTTGGATTAAGGCAGCAGAGCCAGGCCGGGCTCCCCTGACCCAAAAGCCTCCTCCCCCCCTCCCCGGAGGCAGCCACATGAATGGCCCTCCCCCACCCCCACCCCTGACAAGCCCTCCGCAGGCAGGCAGGCAGGCAGGCGGAAGAATGCAAAGCCCAAAGCCGGCCGGACACACAGGAGGGAGGGAGGGAGGGAGGGAGGGAGGGAGGAGGAGGCCCCGGCCAGGCCAGCTGCTCCTCTCCGGCCGGGACCAAAAGCCTCCCCCCCAGTCCACTGACCACTGGGCCAGAGAGGACAAAGGCCTCCCCCGCCCCTCTGAAGAGCCCCCTTTGGGGTCCCAGAGGTCAGGCAGCAGCCTGGCAACCGGTCTTCCTCCCAAGGCGGCCGCAGTAGCAGCCCCCCCCCCGCCTGGCCCGGCCCTCTCCTTCCGCCAGGAGGGGGAGCGCAAGCAACAAGCCCCAGGGAAGCTGGGCCGGGCGGCAGGACCCCAGCCCAGGCAGCCTCTTCGGAGAAGGCTGCCCCCCAAGAGGACTCCCCTCCCCGGCAGGCCTTGCCCCAACCCCCCCCCCCACGGAGGAGGCCACAGGGACGGGTGGCGCCTTGCTGTAAGAGGAAATTAACCCAGAGTTGGAATCACAGAGCCACAGCTCCCTGCCCAGTGCAGGACCGGCCGGCCTAGAGCATCCCTGGCAGATATCCATCAGTCCAGCCTCTCCCCGAAAGCTGCCAGCGAAGGGGAGCTCCGTGGCCCACTGGAGGGGTGTGTGTCAGATTGTGCTCATTCCATTGTAACTTACAGCTTGTGAGGCTGTGAGATTCTGGAAGTGGGCCTCACAGAGCTCCATGGAGCACGGATCGATTCACCCAAAGGCGGCGGAGCTACCCATGAATGAGCCTGGCATCAGCCGGCGACGGGAGAGGGACACCCCGTTCCGCCCCCGGGGCTGGCTGGCTGGCGGTGCCTTCCCTTAAAGGGATGTCAGAAGAATCACACACAGTTGGAAGGGTCTCTAGAGACCATCTAGTCCACCCCCCTGCTCAATGCAGGGTCACCCCCTTGCACAACTCTTACCGTCAAAAAGCTTTCCCTAATACCCAGCCGGTACCTCCCCCCCCCTAAATTTAAACCCACGATTGCGAGTGCTCTCCTCCGCAGGAACTGGCCCTCCTCCAAGTAGGAGAGCCACCCTCCCCCCCCCCCTCCGCCTCCTCTTCTCCAGACTGAACATCTCCCCCTCGCCTGCCTCTCAGCCTTTCCTCGCAGGGCTTCTTGGTCTCCAGGCCCCACAATGGTCCTCATCACTGGGCACTCTCTGCAAAACCTCCCTGAGCATCAGCCCAAGCGCGGCCTGTTTGGTGGCAGCCCCCCCCTCGGGGGAATGGGCTGCCCAAGGGAGCCAGCACCCACCGGAGCATCCTTGCAGCCAGCCAGAAGAAGGGGCAAGTCAGGCGGACCTTGGGGAGGGGGCTCAGCGCTGACTGGGCAGCTCTCCTGGATCTGTGGTTTGCGGAAGGTTTTACGGCTGCCTGATTCAGAAACCGCTTGGGAGTTTTACGAAGATTTGGCACATCAATTAATGAATTGACTGCAGTTCTGAACGCTTGGCGGGCCCCGCAGCAAAGAGACACGCAGAAGCCCCTGCAACGTCTCCCCCCCCCCCCCGGGGACCCAACGCAACGGTCCCCCCGGACTCCCGGAACAAGGCCTCCAAATCAGTACCACCACCCCCACCCCGGCCTCCAAAACCCTGGGCTGGGGGGCCACACCTGGAGGAGGAGGAGGAGGAGGAGGAGGAGGAAGGAGGCCGAGGCGGCCAGGAATGAGGGCCCCATGGTCCTCCTTGTTCTCTGGGGAACACAAGCCTTCCTCCTGGCGGGTGGGCAGGTGCCCTGGGGTGCTCCATGCCCCACCCCCCTGGGAGAGAACGGCCATTCCACAGCAGCGGCTGCCCAGTCCCTCCTCTCGGCCGCCAGACTGCGCTCTCCCCTCCCTGAGACCTCCTGGGCTCCTTCCTCACCAAGCCCCGCGTACTTAGTCTCCTCTGCACTAGCAAGACTGGGGTCAAACCAGCACCCCCTGGGGGGGGAAGAAGACGCCTCGCTCCTTTCCGGAGAGCTGGGGGGAAACTGCACAAAGCATCCTCCAGCCCCGGCTGCTGACACCCAAATTAAGGGGCAGAGAGACACCCCCCTCCCGCCCCCCCCCAGTGGGGCTCCTGTCCAGGATCACTCCCTTGGGGTCTTCCTCCTCCTCCGGTCTGCGGTTCCTTGAGTGGGCAGTGCCCGCCTTCAGAGACAGAGCAGAAAGCCTTGGGCACGGCCTTGCCCCGCTGCAGCGGCCCCCCCCCCACAATCAACTATCCAGGAGGAAGGATAAAAAGGGACCGGCCACCAATGCGGAAGGCAGAGATTTCGGCCTCTATCCCCCTTTTGGCACCACCAGGCTGAAAGAAAGTGGCGACCTCTGACCTGCGTCTGGGGTGTGGGGGGGGGGACACCCGCGCAAGGGAAGGAGCAGAAATCAATATACACATTTAATCCCGCAAACGATTATGCAGGGCCCAGCGCCCTCCCATTGTTTCAGGGGGCAGCATATTGCGCCTGCCTCTGGAGGGGGGGGCATCAGCTGGCCTGGCGCCCCCCCTCCCCTTTTACTCAGCACTCCTCCTTGCCCTGGGTCCCCCCCCCCTCCTTTGCCTGTTTATGTCTTCACAACTTTTGCACAGATCAGAGGCAGAGCGGGCTTCTGCAAGGTTTGCTCGGGAGGGGGGGGTGATCACAGGCAGCCCAGCCACACACACACACCCAACACACCAGGTCACGTAGTGGAGTCTTTCAACAAGGCCCAGGCAGCATGGTGGAAGAGCCCCACTCCCACGGGCATCCTGCGCCGCCCCCCCCCCCACGGCCCTCTTGCCACCTCTCAACCAGGGAGGGAACCCCCCCAGAGCAGGGCCGCCCACTGGGGGAAGGGCTGTCTTCCCACAGTCCCCGGACTCTCCCATGTGCCCACCCACCAGCAGCACAAGCACCCACTCCCTGGCCAAAGGGCAGAGGAGGGCGACCCCGGCGATTCGGGGGCCAGGGCCCCTTCCAGAAGAACACAAGAGAACGTCAGAGAAGCCAGTGTTGGATCGGGCCAGTGGCCCCTCTGACACCCTCCAGTCCAACACACTCTGTGTCACACAGTGGCCAGAAACACCAGGGGCCCTCAGGAGGTCCAGCAGTGGGGCCAGAGAACACTAGGAGCCCTCCCACTGTTGCCCCCCCCCAGGCACCAAGAACACAGAGCATCCCTTGCCCCCTTCCATAAGAACATCAGAGAACACAAGAGAAGCCCATGTTGGATCAGGCCCATGGCCCCTCCAGTCCAACACTCTGGGTCACACAGTGGCCAGAAATACCAGGTGCCCTCAGGAGGTCCAGCAGTGGGGCCAGAGAACACTAGGAGCCCTCCCATTGTTGCCCACCCCAGGCACCAAGAGGATCCCTTGCCCCCTTCCATAAGAACACAAGAGAACGTAAGAGAAGCCCATGTTGGATCAGGCCCATGGCCCCTCCAGTCCAACACTCTGGGTCACACAGTGGCCAGAAATACCAGGTGCCCTCAGGAGGTCCGGCAGTGGGGCCAGGACTCCAGAAGCCCTCCCACTGTTGCCCCCCCAAGCACCAAAGAGACAGAGCATCACTGCCCCAGACATAAGAACACAAGAGAACCTCCAGGTGCCACCAGGAGGTCCGGCAGTGGGGCCAGGACTCCAGAAGCCCTCCCACTGTTGCCCCCCCAAGCACCAAAGAGACAGAGCATCACTGCCCCAGACATAAGAACACAAGA